TACCAGAATCAGTTTTTCACTTCTTAATCTTGTTTTTGGGTCTGATTTTTTACTTATTAATCAATATGATAATAACAAGTATTGTACTCCAATAATAGTTGGGTTGGGTTGGGTTTCCTTAAAAAATTGATGTCTCACATTCATTTTGTTATCATTGAGGTTGCCATTCATATTGCAATTTCAACTTGGCCTGCTTCCGAGCAAAAGAGATGCCATTTTCATTCTCCTTTAAACTTCGGTTTCTGTTTTTGCTTTGGTTATTATAAGAGATATCTTCGGTTAAATTTATTTAAATCCTAGTGTGTGACCTTCTTTTATACTTCTAGGTTGGAACGTAATTAAATTACTCCAATAATAATTTGGTTTCCTTAAGCAAATTATGGATCACACTTATAATTGTTCTTGTTCCTAATGAAATTGTGATTCATATGTTTCTTTTTCTTTCTCAAACAGTTCGTACTTGACATAAGTTACAACACACTCTTCACCTCAACTAAAAATGTTCATTGTTTAAGCTGCCCCTAATGTAGAAAAAAAAATATCAAAACAAAACTACTAAGATGGAACAAAAATAAAGGATTTATACTAAGCAGAGTACACATGATACTGAAACAAGCAGACACACCATACTATATCAGATAACATTTGTTTTCATCAAGGCCATTTGTTCAGACTAAATTTTCAAACCAGGCTGTTGTTTATTAACACAATCACCTTCTATTTCATCCTCAAATGTCCTACATCCACCACCCTTGCAGAACAAGGCAACTCTGTTTTTTTCCTACAGGATGAAGAACTTGAGCCTTACACAAAGTTCCCACCCTCTCTTATTTGCCACCTTCTTTTGTGCTCACATAACATGAATTGGGAATATTTTCATCATCAATGGCCTTCAATTAAAAGAAAAGAAAGCTTGTATGATCAAAATTCAGAAATGTACAATCGACAAGGGGTCTGTCGGCATGTTCTCAAATTCAAATACATGATGAAGGCAGGAACACCATTAGAAACATCACAGGAATATCACAATGCTTTTACCATCCATCAGCAATTCAACTAAGAAAAATCTGCTTCATGCAAGATTGATGACAGGAACAACAACAACACTTCATATTTGAACATTTTGGCAACTCAATACAAGCAAACACAGAGTATAGAGATGTGACAGAAACAAAACAAACATAAGGGCAGACAATAATAAGCTCTCCAAATTAAGCATCAAAATCCAAATTACCAGAGTCCTCTCCATGGTTAGTTAGGTACTGAAAGCAGAGTCTCATTGTATTTAATCACGTCATACACTGCCCCATCCCCATCATTGACGTTAAATGGGGTACTGCAAACCGGCTCCGCTTTTCCGTGGCATTCAATCCTCACCACTATGTCCCTATCCCACCTCAGTCTGAATATAACGGTACCACCTTCAGTAACGAAACAGGCTTCATAACCGTGCAAATTCCCACCCAACGATTTAGATACATCATTCGTGTTAAATTTGAAGAGCACATTCCAAGATTCACGAACCCCATATTCTCTCATAACCCAGAATTCCATCAAATTAACACCACCACGTATCCTAGTAAGCGAAACACAGAGGCATTCTCCTTCTCCTTCTCCTCCTCTTGAAACTACTTGAACCCCCATCTAATTAACATCAATGTCATCGGCATCACCATCAAAAGTGGGGAATGGAACTTCCCTGAATTCCTCCTTTGCCAGATCAAAAGCAAGGATCGTTGGCTCCTCCTCATCGACTTTGGGGTAGTAGAACCAATGCAGTGCTTCATTTGTAAGGCCCCCCAAGCTAGCGGTGGTGGGGCTTCTGAAAGAGCACGGTGGGTCGTGCCCACAGACTTGAATGCGTTTCCAAGAGTTCAATCTGGATGAGAAAATCTCCACAAACGTCTGGAAAGGTGAAGAATAAACATAAGCATCTATGAAGATTTTGTAGTCGTCAGTGGATGACACATAACCCAGGCCAGTACGGTCAAATTTTGATCTAACCTTTTCTGTATTCGCCACAGACACAAAATATGGGTCAGGCAATTCGCGTTGGAATCTGGTTGATGGGTTCCAGAGAGACAAGCTATGATTTTCATAACCATCAACATCTACAAATACCAAACCATTACAGGAGCCCAGTAGGTTGGTATAGGTGTGGAAGGTGATATTACTGAGCGAAGAATCGTTGTCTGCGAACGACGGCGTTTCCGGGTCCAAGGATCGGAGTTGATAGTTGGTGGAGATAAGGAGTCTCTGGGTGAGGGTTTGCGATCGGAGGCTAGCTTGAAGTGGGATTGGGCAAACTGTGGGTCCTCAATTATGAGAGATTGCCACCGTTCCGAAACGGAACTGAATCGAATCAGAGGTTTTATCGGCAACCGGCACAAAATTTGGACTATAATTTCTTCAGGAAGGTGGCGGTTGTGGTGGAGCTTCTTCGTCGACATTGGAACCTTGGAAACGAATAGCCCACAGACACAGCCAGTGGAAGGGTTTTGGGAAGCTGATTTTCCGTTTTCAGAGCATTTCTCACAAGTTCACAACAAAGGCATGAGCTTGACCGCTTTTGACTTGAGCTTTTCGTTCATAAAATGACAACTGTACATGTGGTCATGACCGTAGATGCAGTTGGTGCTGAACCTGTACGGAGAATCGCTGACGCAAACACGTGGAATTAGATTTGGCGGGTCCCAACGGGTTGGTTTTGGGTTGGCCCCGCCTTATATGAACTCGGGGATCAATGCTGATTGAATTTGGGCTTTGAAAAACAAAATGGTTGGGTGTCCAGAGACTAAAACTGAGTGTCCACAGAATCACTAAACAGACAAGATATTCGTTGGCCTTTTCATTTTTTCAATTCAATAAACCGCATAAAATTTCAACTCCTATACATAAAAATTTAAAAAAAAAAAATTTCTTTTGTGATTTCTACAAATTATTTGTGAAGCAATCTTGGAGGCTATAGTCTAACTGCCCTCTTAATCTTTCCCAATCTGCCACCTCAAGTAAAGGTGTGTTTCTATATGGTGACTTCACCTTTATTTTTGGCTTCAAATTCATTTGCAGGTTCATGCTTTTGGCTTTTTGGGGAGAAGAATCAATTAACTCCCTCTTAATAAGCGTTATTCATATCTGTCGTGTTGCTAATTGAGATGACTCTCTCTGTATTTTTTCAATTGATTTAATAAAGTATTATTGCTTTTTTGAAACAAAAACCCTAATCGGCTGTTTTACTTCTTAATCAATATGATAAGAACATATGTTTATTCCAATAATAATTGGGTTTCCTTAAACAATTTATGTCACACACTGGCTTTGCTATTAATTAATGAGGTTGCCATTCATACTTTTAAGGCGTTTGAGTGTGCTTGAAATGAAGTGAAAATGTATGAGAAACATTCCACATTATCCCCCACTTGGTTAGGGATAACATATCAAAAAAAACTATCAAAGAATTCAAAATAGTTGGTCAAAGAAGTTACAAGTATAATCCAATCCAAGTGGGTAGTTTTGCACACAAGAGCCGTCAATATGTAACCCAAACATATATACAAGATTCATTCACCGCCTCACTCGGAGGCCCCGGAAATGCCTCCCTTCGTGAAGACTTGGTTTGTGTCAATTGTCAACAAACTCTCTATCTCTCTCTTCCCTTTCATTTCTTGGTAAAGGCAACTCACGCTTCCATCCTTAAGTGATCAGCAGCCATCCGTACTATTACTCTTGCTTTTCTTCATTTCTCTTTTTTCACTATCAATAATATTTTTAGGCCCCTATATACACACACACACACACACAAATAGAGAGAGAGGGTCACAAGTTACAAGTTGTGTCAAATAGGTGGTTTTGAGAGAGACAGAGAGAGAATGTGCGCAGTTCAGAGGATAGTAGGTTTAGTGGTGGCGGTTATGGCGGCAATGGTGATGAGGGTGGTTTGTTCACAGTCACATGACTATGGAGATGCTTTGAGCAAGAGCATATTGTTCTTTGAAGGCCAGAGGTCGGGGAAGTTACCCTCTTCTCAGAGAATGACTTGGAGGAAGGATTCTGCACTTCGTGATGGCTATGAGATTGGTGTAAGTCTCTCTTTCTCTCTTGCTTATGTGGGTTCGTTCTTGAATTTTACAGATTCTTATTATTACACAAATCATTTGGGACTTTTTAGGATCTTCATTATCATCAACAAGAACCAAACATAAACTTTTCAAGTCGCTTTCAGATGGTGTCATTTGGGATGGGAAAGATTTTACATAAAAATCTCATAATTTAGATGTGACAACATTAGCTCATCGGATTTCTTTTTGCCTTTTCTTGGGTCAGAATGGTTAAAGAATGAAACTTTGGGCAAGATTTCAATCTAATCATTTCAGAAAAACACAGAGGAGGAGGAGCACTCTCAGATGAAAAAAAACAGAGGAGCTCTCAATGTTATTTTATTTAGCAAAAAGTTGAAACCGCTACTTTGTTGCTTAGGATAGAGAAAGAGCATTCGATAAATGTGACTTACCTTTGCTTCTTTTATAAACGAGTTTATTTTTTCTTTCTTTTAAGTACTCGCAAAACATGTGAAGCCATTTGCATTGATTGTAATCAATGGGATTTTTAGTTAGTCATTAGTGGGATTCAATTGAGGGTTATGGACCAACCATCAATGTGTTTTTGTGTGACCAGGTTGATTTGGTAGGGGGCTACTACGACGCCGGCGACAACGTTAAGTTCAACTTTCCGATGGCATTCTCAACAACAATGCTGGCATGGAGCGTTTTAGAGTTTGGCAAAGGCATGAGCTCAGACTTGCAACATGCACTGGACGCCATCCGATGGGCCACTGACTACTTTCTCAAAGCCACAAGCATTCCTGGCTTTGTCTTTGTCCAAGTTGGCGACCCTTACGGCGACCACAATTGCTGGGAGAGGCCTGAGGACATGGACACCCCTAGGACACCCTTTGCCGTGAGCAAACAGTTCCCGGGCTCCGAAGTTTCAGCTGAGATAGCAGCAGCACTTGCAGCTTCTGCCATGGTGTTTAGACCAATTGATTTAAAATACTCTGCCAGGCTTCTCAAAAGAGCTAGAATGGTACTAATTAACTGACACATTAATGAGATTAAGTAATTATTTCAAACTATACATAGAGCTACATTATGCTCATTTCGTGCAATGGACTAGGTGTTTGATTTTGCAGATAAATACCAGGGATCCTATAATGACAGCCTTGGACCATGGGTTTGTCCATTTTATTGTGATTTCAGTGGCTATGAGGTAAAGTACACATAAAATGCTCATACTACCAATTTCTAAAACAAGATGTCTGATAGAATATGCAGTGTTTGTTATGTGACAATTTCTGCTATGCAGGACGAATTGGTTTGGGGAGCAGCCTGGTTATTTAAGGCAACTAAGCAACCTATCTACTGGAACTATGTGTTACAAAACATAAACAAGTTGGAAAGTTCTGCTACTGTGAAATATATAAACGGCGTCTCATATCTTGGTGGCAGCTTTGCAGAATTTGGATGGGATTCCAAGCACGCAGGCATCAACGTACTCGTTTCGAAGGTAAGTGTACTACTTACATTTCCTTAATTCTGATTAAGCACATTAATCTGCTTCTAAGTAATACAATCGATTCCATTTGCCTAATACGAAGATTGATTTGATCAGTTGCGTGTTTTTGTAACAGTTGATCATGTCAATGGCTGGTACTGGTTCTACCCCTTTCATTTCAAATGCAGACAAGTTCATATGCACCTTGTTGCCTGAATCTCCAACCGTATCAGTCTCCTATTCTCCAGGTAGCTACCTCTCTAATGACTGAATAATAATCACCATTAGTACGATGAGTGCGGTAATATAATGTTAATTAATTAAAATTAACAGGTGGGCTTTTATTTAAACCTGGAGGAAGCAATATGCAGCATGCAACAACTCTGTCATTTCTTCTAGTTGTTTATGCTCGTTATTTGAAACTATCCAGTAGAGTTGTCCATTGTGGCAATGTTGTTGCCAGTCCTGCTAGACTTGTAAAACTTGCAAAAGGCCAGGTAAGTTATACTTTTATAGCATGTTTACTTATCGGGAATGAATATCGTAAAATTGTGTGAATACTCATTAATTAATATAAATTTGGACCGACGGGTCGATGCAGGTAGATTACATTCTAGGAAGTAACCCACTGGGCATGTCGTATATGGTGGGATATGGTAAAAAATTTCCTCAGAGAATTCACCACCGTGGGTCATCTTTACCGTCAGTTGGTCAACATCCGAAACAGATTGACTGCAAAGGTGGAACCGATTATTATAACAGCAAGAACCCAAACCCAAATTTGCTAATTGGGGCTGTTGTTGGAGGACCAGATATCAAAGACTCGTATGCTGATTCTCGAGAGGATTTTGTGCAGTCTGAGCCAACAACATACATCAATGCACCTTTAGTGGGGGTCTTGGCGTACTTCAATTCTCGTTCATCCTAGCTAGTTAGCTTCTTGATAAATTCTTCATCTCCCTTTCAATTTATCTTTTGTTTATAACTTGCAATTGCAAAGGAAAAAAAAAAAAGGTAAAGGGTTGATTTATTTTATTTTATTTTTATAAAAGCGATATTATGAATGATAAATTAAACCTAAAACTTCAAATGTATATTATGGTAAAAAGTCGGACAGGTGAGCACAATTGTAGGTATATTAAATCAATGTAAAAAAAAAATCTTCAAATTGAGGAAAGAAATTTTAGTCAACGTTATTAAGGTTAGTAGCAAATTTTTTAGTAGAAATATTAGGGATTAAAAAAATTTCTTAAACTAGAAACCACTTCCCCCATCTTGAGGAAAATTAGCCCGGCTTTGCCCCACCCCTCTGTAAGCCACCTCCAGAAAGAATTTACCCCTATAAGGAACCCTCGCCGGAGCATACAGGGAGATGTCAGAGACAAGTGTGTGACAGTGCTAAGGGGACTTTCTCCTATGAAGCACTGGAACCAGAGCAAACCCTAGAGAGAATAGATATATCGTCCTTTTAAGAATCAAACACTTTTAGGGCATGTTTATGTATCAATAATTGGTATGAGAGGAAATAGAATGATTTTCATTCCTGACTTTCTC